TTTTTTCTTTTTTTCTTCTTATTCGATGATTTTTTGAGATAAACTGTACTTGGGAATCATGATATACTATAATTGCAAAATAACCTCGCTCTTTTTTTCTTTTTTGTGTGTCTTTTGTCTTTTAATTAAGTAAAATACCGTTAATACCTGATGCAACTCTATCTATCAAAGGAAATGGAAGGCACACGCTCAGCCAAAAAAAAATGACATAGGGAGGAATTGATAATCAACTTTACAAAGCAGCTGAGTACGATTCTAACCGTCGGGTTCACGGAGAAAGCTGGTTCTTTACGGCGGCAGCGTCGGGGAGGAAGGATGCCCATGTCTGCCACCACCACGCTGCCAGGACTGCCAGACAGGGACCCATCAACGTCTTGCCAGATGGTCTCGTGTTCCCATTTGAAACGAATCTGGAAGCCATAAATTCGTGATCATAAAAATGCTCGCGGACATCGACCTCGTGACGAATGAATCAACAATCGAAACACTTGCGCACAGCCAGGATATTCACCTTATTAGGGCTGTTGATGAAGGTGAGGCCCTCAACACGCACCGACGACCCCGCTCGGGTATTCGTGCACTGAGAACACCCGGAGAGAGCAACGCACTGCCCGCCGGCGAAGTTGACGAAGGTCGTGCCCGCCACAGTCAGCACGTGCTCCTCGGGGGCCACCACTCCGCTCGAGGGTCGCTTGCAGTCCCCGGGCGAGAGGGCGGAGCGGCCTACCACCAGCGAGTTGAAGACGCCTGTCGAAGTACGGTTTTAGATTACCTACTGAAGATGTAAATTTGTGTCCTGTTTCTCAGTATGTGAGTGAATCTCTCCCAATGCAAATCATGATACGATTACGTATTCCAACGTACGATGGGTAGTATATTAAAAGTAAAAGGTATAATTAGGACATTTCATGTATTTATTCAAGTTAACAAAGTGAAAATTTAAATCCCTCACACGTAAATATCCACCAAATCACTCCAACTATCAACCGCAAACCCAACGCACTTACCAGGTCCGTCATCCAACCCAAAGCCTCCCTTGACCTGTATCATCTCCAAACCGGCTTTCTCGTTGTCTAAAACCACGAAATTGTGGAACTGCAGCGCCCCGCCTGTTCCGACCTCTGCACCGCGCTCGCAACGCCACGCCGTGAAGTTCTCCCAGCGAGCTACCTGTATGAGACCCATTTTGTTTTCGTTTTATTTCTATTAATACCTATAAGTGAGTATATATTAGTGTTCAGAGAAATACAAAACTGCAGACGATGGCAATGCCACATACCGTGTCCTCATGTCCGCACTTATCAGTCTTGGGAAAATAGCCTTCATTGGAGAATACCCACAGACCGTACCTGTAGTTCATGGTAGGATTAATTCGCATAGAGAAATTGATTGTGAGAAGTATATTTTTCTCGTTCATTTAATCTCTCGAACTCAACAGTCACCTCCTCTCTCTCTCTCTCTCTCACTCCCACTCCCACTCCCACTCCCCCCTTTCTCTCTCACAAACACACACACACACACACACAGAAGACCAAACAATACACTCACACCTATTCACACAACCGCACATACCGCCACTCAAGATCAACAAATAAAGCTCATGGCACCAACCTGCCCATGGAGTGCGCGGAATTGTTATAGAATCCTGCCACGGGCGCCTTGTTGGGGCAGTGATTCGACCCGGCGGAGGGACCTGAAGGGGAACTCTCCAGACGGTACCAGAACCCGAAGTGCGTTCCTCCTGCGGCAGCGTTGTGGCGGACCAGGTTATTCGGGTTCACGATCTGGGGGGGGAGAGAGAGGAAGAAGAGGAGGGGGAGGAAGGAAGAGGGTAGGTGAGGAGTAGGGAGGAGGAGGATAAGGAAAGTGGGTGAGGTGGAAGAAGGAAAGCGAGGGTTAGGAAGAGGGAAAGGGAGGTTGAGATGAGAAGGAGGAGGAGCAGGAGAAGGAGGGTGGGTGAGGAGTAGGGATGAGGAGGATGAGGAAGGTGGGTGAGGAGGAAGAGAGAGGTGAAGAAGAGGATGAGGAGGGGGAGTAGAGAGGGTGAGCAGAAGAGAACGATGGTCAGAAAGGTGGGTGAGGAGAAACAGGAATGGTAAGGATATGTAAGGAGAAGGAGGGAAGTAGGGTAGATAGTATTAGTACTGTTATTGTTTTATCATCATTATTATCATCATCATTACTATCAATATACCCTCAAAAAAACTCCCCCACTCACCCAGAAGGAAGCGGGAGTGAGATCAGCGGTGAGGAGAGAGGATGACAAGCGAGTGAAGATTGCGAGATTGTATTCGAACACATTGTCCTCTTCGTTCCCATCCTCGGTGAAGATAGCGTGTCCGAATGTGTTGAAGAGTACGTTAGACCCCACCGTTAGACCACTGGTGGCGTGTACGGTAATGGCGCGGTTGTACGAGTGGTGAACGGAACAGCCACGGACGTACGAGCGGTGGACTCGGCCGAGCATATGGAAGTGCAGCGGGTAGCGCCCGATCTGGTAGGCCTGTGGGGGCAAGAAAAGGGGTGTTAGGAAGGTAGGATTGTGGGTTATGTTTTCTTTATTTTTCTTTCTCTCCAGAGAGACGATTTAATACGTCTATCCATCTTTACTTTACTTCTTCACCCGTCCACCCCCCTTACCAACCTCTATCCCTTCACACCCTTCACTTCCCATGTCCCTTCCCTCCCCCCTTCCCCCTCCCTACCTGCCCGGCTTGCGAGATCTCGACGTGTTGGATCCGCGCCGCCACGATCTCCTCGCCGGGGCGTTCGGGCGCCAGCATCACCGTCGCGCCGAACATGTCACTGCCGAGTTCCGCGCCGAAGTTCCCGTTGAAGCACGGCGCCGTCGAGAACTGGCCTGGAGAGGGGGGGGGGAAGAGACGGATTATGGGTGCGTACAAGAGGAGGTGGGCGTGTGGGGGAGGGGGAGGGAAAAGTGTGTATTGGGAGGGGGGTGAGGTGTATGATAGTGTTTTGATTTTGTTTACACTGGTATGATCTTTGAATTGATATTGTGGAGTCATTCTTGTCTTTTTTCCGTTTGTTTTCTTTTTTTATGTAATTAGAGCCAGGATGAAGTAAATGATATCTATGAGCTTTTCCTTGTACCTGTCTCTTTTACTAGAAGGAAAAAATGAGTGTAAAGTTTCTGCTAATACACAACAAATCGACCCTCCACTCTACATTCATCTAACAATCAAGCAAACAATCAAACAAGCGAAATAAACTGCTCACCTGGACTCCACTTCCCTCCGCATGGCTCTATGACGTCACCGGCGAAATCCGCGCTCATGACGCCGCGGATTCTGACGTTGCGCGAGAGAAGGCCGACCTCCGCACGGGTGTCGACCACGCGTCCGCCGAGCGTCTGACGTAACGCGACGTGATGGTGACGCAAAGGTTCCGTCACGGTCACGGTCAGGCCATCTCCCGACACGCTTGCGATCGTCAGCTGTTCGTTTTCGTTAGTGGAGAACCTGATTCGGAAAATGGCGGGTACAATGGGTGGAAGAAGGGGAGAGGAGAAGAGAAGTGAAGAGAAGAAAAGGAGGAGAGGCGAGGAGAAAAGGTGGGCAGGGGAGTAGAAAAGGAAGAAAGGGCAAGAAAAGAAAAGAGATGGAGAGATGAAAAAAGAAAGAAAGGAGGAGGGAATAAGAAAATGGTTTAATATTGTCTTCAATGAAAGCTCTTGTATATCTTTTCATGGTATGATTCTATGACATATATATGCATGAATTTTCTTGCAGATAATCCATTATATCATCCTTAAAATACACCAATAGTTGATCAAGGAGTAGTCACCTAATAAAATAAAAAGACAGTGAAATTACAAATATTATACTTTTCACCTCAAAAGCCAATTCCAATGTCCCGTCTCACCTTCTTTCCGTGGAGGCGACGACGAGGGAGTCCCCGGGGCGCCAGGCGACGGGCGTCTCGAGCCTAAGCACGCGGTCCCCAGGGGCAGCGGGTGACGCCAGGCGCGTCCATGGAACAGACACAGGAGCGCCGTGGAGGTCGAGGGTCCCGTTGCGCACCGCGAGCACCTGAGGGGGGAGGGATACCGTCAGAGGGGCGGGTGGGTGGATGGATGGATGGATGGATGGATGGATGGATGGATGGATGGATGGCTTTATCCATCCATTATGCATTAATATTAGCATCCAAACTTTTCTTTACTTATATACATATTCGCTGCCTACGCTTTCAGATTTTTTTTCTCTCTTTATCCTTATCAATAACTCTATTTCCTCATTTCCATCTTTTTCTTTCTCTGAGCGGATCTGGCACCAGGACGCACCTTGGCACCGAAGACCGGCAGCTGGATGGACCTCGCGTTGCCGTGGAGCTCGATGGTCGCTCGGCCCTCAAACGGGTCCTCCTCCGAGCCGATGCTGAGCGCCCCGCCGTCCACCACCAGGATGTACTCCGCCCTCAGCACCACCTCCGACGTCGCCTCAGGGTCCACCAGTAAGTGGCCTCCTAGATGGAAGGGCAGACGATGTGAGGGACTGTTTTTTTTCATTTCTTAATTCTTCTTTCTCTCTTTCTTTCTTTCTTTTTCTTTATCCCCCTTTTCATTGTCTATTTTTTCTCTCCTCCTATCTTATCCTCTCCTCTCCTCCTCTTCTCTCCTCCCCTCTCCTCTCCTCTTAATTTCTCTCCTCTCCTTTTAATTTCTCTTCTCTCCTCTCCTCTTAATTTCCCTCCTCTCTCCTCCTCCTCCGCTTCCTCTCCTCCTCCTAATCTCCTCCTCCTAATCTCCTCCTCCTAATCTCCTCCTCCCCCTCTCTTCCTCCTCTCTTCTCATACTCCCCTCTTCTTCTTTTCTCTTTTCTCTCCATCTCTCCCTCTCTTCCCTTTTCTCTCTCTACCTCCCCATTCATCCGTGTCTTCTCCTCCTCTCCTTTCTTTCTCACTGTCTCTCCCTCTTTCCGATCCCTCCCGTCCGTGCACCCCTCTCCCCGCCCACCTTTTATGAGGAGCATCTTGAGCAC